GTCTACTCACACTTTTTTCTGGCTTCCAGTACGTCCAGAGAGCTTTGATTTTGGTAGAGGACCATCTCACAGCTGTTCAAGAAGAAACCATAAGCAGAATTTACATCATCGACGCCCATCATCAGCGGCGGCCTTCTTCTCTCACCAACCCCACCTTGCTCACATTTACCCATTTCCCACTGCCAGCGTCTGGCTGTTTTTGAAATGGATTGAGAATGTGCAAATTCCGAATTCCTTTCTTTGCTTTTGTTCCGTTCAGACACGCCAATTAAACTAAATGTCAGATATTAGAACTCGGGTACTGTTGCATAGTTAGCATAAGGGACTAACGATGTCGCTGATCGCCAAAAAATATTACCACAGGACAGGACCTTCCCCATAAAGCTTACGAATAAATAATGGGGCTAAACGCTGGATTATAGAAGAGAAGCGAGCGAGCGCAAAAACAATGAAAGGGTATGATTGAATTCGTGTGTAAATCAAAACTACACCGCAACCCCTCAAATGATAATTTCTCCAGTGAAGTATCGTAAGCTCGCACTTGCCGATAGCTAATCGTCGGCTGAGAAAGTGTTCACTTATGACCTTCCTTGGCAGAATCGTTCTGCAATTTTGGGTTCCGCAGTTCTAACCAGTGTCCCAGGCTCTATCGATATGTCTAGGTCTCGATTCAAAGTTCCACGGGGAGTTCAATGCCTTCCCTGGTTAGGGGAAGAAAATGAGGCTTGTTGAAGAATTGTAGCACCATCTTGTGTCTTTCCCAACAAAGAGAGAACACTACTTCACACATGTGCATCCAGCAGCTGATTGGCCAACGACAGCTGAAGACAGCTCTGTCTAACCTAGGTAGGTATGTCCAGCACGCAGCAGCTACACTGAAAAAGTCTTTGACCCTCTACCTTATTAATTGATTGAGTAAAAACTGAATAGTTATTTTTGAGTAATTCTCTGGAGTTTCGGGACCGAATACAGAGTAGGATGGGGTTATGCTCAACTGAAGTTACTTGAAACATCTTGGCCCATGAGCCACTTGTTCAGAATTTGACCGAGTTTCTTGAAGGCAAAGTTCGGGCCAGACCACGCTAAGAACGCCCTTCGGCGACGCGCTAGGACTGCTGGTACGACAATTTGCGAAGGTGAGGCCGACCTGTTTCCACATCGCAATGACGATCACTCAAGACCCCAAGGCACAGGGCCTACTGGGTAAGATGGAACGTGACTTTGTACGGGACGGTCTGCCACGCGCGGAAGTTAGCATAGACATGCTCGCGGCTTTACCAAGCGGTGTGCGGAAATGTGTGCGATCTTTCGGGCGTCGCCGCCGTTGACCGTGCTAGTGTCCTCGCTCTTGCCGGAGCTAATCTCTACCACCCGCTGCCGCTCACATTATCTCTCATCTCCCTGCCTGCCTTTTGAACTTCTCCACAGCATAGAGCAAAATGCTCGTATTTCCTGTGTATTTCAGGATTTTCTTTTTTTTTTCTCCACTGGCGGTCCACCTCCCATCCCTACTTTCACATTTGAGTGGAATCACCCCATCAATTTAATCCTGATTCTTGCCTTTAAGTTGATTTTTCAGGTAACACCGAGGTTCCGTGCACACAGAGAAACAAACAGACAGACACATGCGCAACACACATACCCTCCCCTTCGAAAAACGGAGAAAGCGTCGGGTGCAACCATACACCACAACTGACGACGGCCGCGAGAAAGCGGCAGTTGACAACCGACAAGGAAATTAATTGGTTGCAGTTGTATTCTATTAGCTATCTGTCTAATTCTACTTCGCTCGTCATCATTTTATTCAGGTGAGTTATTTGTAACAGCAGAACTCAGACGTCAGCTGTGTTGCTTGGTCTGTAATGTAAACCTGGTAGTCAGACACAAAGAGTACCAAGGTAATAATATGTAGTAGAACACAGGGGATTTGATAAGGCCAGAAATGCTCAGACTGAAGAGCTGATGAGCATACGCTGGCAAAGTAAACGAACAAAAAAATATGGCTCTCTTTGTGCGGCACCTGTTACGGCCATCACCAACCTTTCAGTGACCATGTCAGAATGAGGGAGCCGAAGCTGCACAATGATAACCCATTGGCTCCGGGATACTCCAAACAACCTCACCTCGTATTTATTCGCATACATGCGAAGAACCATTGTTGTGACTTCATTGCTTGACTTTTGCGTCAGGAGACGGAATTTCACATTATGTTCAGCTTGGTGGATATCACATGTTAGAACAAAGCATCGGCATGGCACCTTCATTTCCCGTGCTAATGCTATGTAGCGGCTCCTAAGCGAAGCAAATAAAATGCTCGAGGTTTTCGCGGAAGAAGGAGCAATTACCTTACCTTGACTCCTTGTTAGGATTGGTATTGTCTACCACAACGCTCTTACCAGATTTCAGATGGGCACGAGCGTATTCGCAACACTTTTGCCAAGTACCGAGAGTGTCACGATTCACTACCATGTAATTATGCTCAGACTCAAGTTTTCGTGCAAACGTCGACTTTCCTGATCCCGGAAAACCAACGATCACAAGCACCTC